CTGGGTTATACCCTGCCTTGTGCCCTGCGATGGGTTGGTGCCCCATCCTGGGTTATACCCTGCCTTGTGTTTATAGCTCCTGGGAGAGACTCTAGAAACTCTTGACTCTGTATAGGACAAGTACGCGCAGAAAATGGACTAAATGTATATTTCGTGTTTTTGAGTATTTGAATATTTTGAAAATGTAATTTTCCGCATGAGGTCTGTTTAGCCAATGTCGCGTGTTCTTTCAGCGGAAGAGTGCGAGGAAGTGAGCAAGTTCCTGAATGACGCCACGGCGCAGTGGAAAAACCTTTCGGTGGAGGTGCGGAGCGTGCGCAGCATGCTGGAGGAGGTCATCTCCAACTGGGAGAAGTACAGCAGCACCGTGGCCAGCTTACAGGCCTGGCTGGAAGACGCGGAGCAGATGCTGAACCAGCCCGAGAGCGCCAAGCGGGTGAGCGTCGATGCAGATCCCCTGTAAGATACTCCTGTCCCCATTCAAGGTCCCAACACCTATGACCTCTCACTTTTCCCTGTCCCATTCCAGGAGTTTTTCCGGAATCTTCCACACTGGATTCAGCAGCACATGGCCATGAACGACGCTGGGAACTTTCTCATCGAGACCTGCGACGAAACCGTCTCCCGGGACCTGAAGCAACAGCTGCTGCTTCTCAACGGCAGATGGAGGGAACTCTTTGTTAAAGTCAAACAAGTAAATAACTTTTAACACTTTTTTTTACAGTCATTAAAATCTTGATCCAAACATGTATACTACTGGTAAAATCAACAAATATATGTATAATGGATGGTTCCCAGCTAACAGGGCATTCTTTTCACACAATTAATGTTGCAAATGATAGTTTAATGATAAAATGCTATTTAAAAAGGTGCTATATGTATACTGCAAATACACTACCCAGCCTCAAACCCCTGACCGTTGCAGTGTAAAGCAACAGTGTTACCCTGTCATCTGCCGTGTCTGTCCTCTGCCATATCTGTCCTCTGCCATGTCTGTCTTCTGCCATGTCTGTCCTCTGCCATGCCTCTCCTCTGCCATGTCTGTCCTCTGCCATGCCTCTCCTCTGCCATGTCTGTCCTCTGCCATGCCGGTCCTCTGCCATGCCTGTCCTCTGCCATGCCTGTCCTCTGCCATGCCTGTCCTCTGCCATGTCTGTCCTCTGCCATGTCTGTCCTCTGCCATGCCTGTCCTCTGCCATGCCTTTCCTCTGCCATGCCTTTCCTCTGCCATGCTTTTGTATCATTAGTTTTAGCTGTAGTAGTTACAGCAGTGAGTAACTTCAGGAACATCAGGAACACTGGACACTTTGAATGTTTCCATTCCTTAGTTGTAACGTTTGATAAACATTCGTAGAACAAAAAGTTGTTAATGGGGTCACTGCAAACACTGGGGTGACTTTAGGAGAGGTCTTGAAACGACTAAGCTGACACACTGTGACAGGCATAGTATCATAGTTTTACACCAACATGATGATCATTTAAACATCATTTTCATTCACTGCTTAAGACTTTTGTACAGAACTGTATGTATGTATATATAATATATTTTATATGTATATTAATATATATACATGACACTCAATGCTTTGAATGATGACTGTCAGCGGATATCATGGTCCTTAAAGAAACAGATGCAATCAAAACATTGCAAGCTCATGTCTCCTTGGGGCCTCTACAGTTACACCCTTGAGGGAACCTCTTAATATAAATGGCTTTGATGACTTCTACCATGTGTATTACTTGAGATGAACACATTAGCGAAACACCCAAATGCATGTAATTGTAGGCTGTGGAGCTGGGCTATCGAGCTGTAGAGGGGCTGCTTTCAGAAGAAAGCTATTATATTATTGATGGTCTCTCTTGATCAGTCAGACCTCATGCCTGAGATGCGTTAGCCCGAGGGGTTGGGTTAGCGTTGGCAGTGGAAACAGGTGTAAGCAACCTTCCCACCTTAGGCATATTGATTTCAGGGGGGTGCAATTTGTCGACCGGGATGGGGCGATGAAGCTGGGGGTGCTGGCGGTGAAATGTCTTGCCTTGGCAGCAAATTTTACCGCCGCTCAATAGCGGAATAACAGATTTCCCAGACATTGCACATTATTCGTGGGCAGGAGATTCCTGGAACTTCAGAGGGTTCTCTCGGAACTTCTGGGAGAGGTGTGTGGGATATCCGTGTTAAACGCAGCTATGTGGCAAAGCGGTTCATGTTGAATCTTGCTGCGCCTCACCCTGTTGCAGTACGCACGGGCGGATGAGGTGGACAAGATGCGAAAGGACTACCAGGATGGAATCTCTGCCCTGAAAGCCTTTGTGGATGCAGCAAATGAAAAAATAAATGCCTCTGTACAAGTGTCCTTCTTGAACATCCGGTCTTTCGTTCAAGATATCGAGGTGAGTCACACTCATGAGTCTTTGATTTCCTAAGCAAAGTCTCCTGTCAAAGACAAGTTTTAGTACAGCTTTACTGTGAGTGTGTATGTGTGTGTGTGTGTGTGTGAGAGAGAGAGAGAGAGAGAGAATTTTATGATGCAGTTCTCTCTAGTACACCTTGTGTTACACCATTAGTAAAGTCTTCTCCAGTACACCTTGTGTTACACCATTAGTAAAGTCTTCTCCAGTACACCTTGTGTTACAC